CTAGTGGTCAGTGATGTAAAGTTGGAAGTTCACATGAGCATTGACCAAAAAGAAGCCTCTGACCGCATGCTGGCTGTGATTTATCTACCCTTAACGATTTATTGGTTTTACTTTTCAAAAGGCAAACAAAACATTTTGAAACTGCGCCAAATCGGGTATCCCGCATCAGTATGTTGCCGTCAAATGCCGTGTGGTTTTGTGAGGATGATTTATAAACTGGGAGTTATTTAAATTGCATGGTGGTAAACTAATTTTAAAACCCTTTATGAATACTTCAAATGTGTAATTTTGAATGGCAGAATATTTGTTTGTTAATTATTCCGACTAGATTGGCTAGGTGGCGTTAGATAAATTTGGCATTGAGTTAGATTACGCAATCACAGGTCTGGCATGCCTACGAAAGAAAATGCTTCATTGTGAGATTTGCAAAAATGACACTACTAACAGATCAATAGATATAATTTAAGTATTCATTAACCCTTTGTTCAAAATGAAATAATTTTTGGTCACACATAAATCTGATGATGAAACCCTAGGACTTTCAATACACAAAGAATAATGTAAAGTCCTCTGACTTAGTGTAGATAGTAATACTTATATTATGCTAAAAATAACTCATAACGACACTCTCTAACGATCTGCATGGGCAGCTTATAAAATATTTTTCCAAAATTACTTGAGTTTTTCCCCATTTTTAGTCTTATTTCACTGTTCATAATTATCTTTAGTGTACATTATTCTGAACAAATGTGTTTTAATGAAGAGTTTATGTTGCAGGGCTACAACTTCTTTTAATTTGTTATTTATTGGAATGTGTTAAATAAAGAAGTATTTTTGTCCTTACAATGAGCGCAAGAGATTGGTAATAGAAGGCCAATAGGTTATAAAGAAAAACCATAGTATTGTTATGATTTTTAAAAGAGGCCTGAAGACTCAAACGATAAAACGCTTGTAAATCCAATAAGAATCAATTCTTCACCAGGAGACGTGGAGTGGGCCTTTATTGGAATTGGTGTTTGATTTTCTAATACAACTACAGTACAAATGTCGTTAACCTGTAAATAATGTGTTGTGCCATGAAATAAACAATTTTGATCGATGGAATTTGCATTTTATAGTTTTCTTACACGGTGCTAACTAATACTAATAACTAATACTCGTAATTTATTTTGCGTATTTAATGCGAGGTAGGGTAATGAATTTTATATTAAATCTCGCTCCACGAACATTGCATTTTGGGGAGAAGCCAAGAGACATCTTTTACGGCCATTCTATACAAGCATGGTGCGTATTGCGATGGTAAATACCATTATTTAATTCATTTTTACTACCAAAGTAAATATTGGTTGTATACATATTCATAATAGAATATTTAATTTCGTTACGTGTGCTAATTATGTACATGTACCAATAATTGAAAAGGGTGTATTTTTAATATTAAATTATTTGTACTATTCCATTTAATCGTAAATGATGTACGTATGTGTGTATGGATGTATTTTGATAATTTATTCGATATGTTGTTAGGTTAAACTTTTGAAATTAATTTGTTTTAACTAAACATTTGTAGACAGTTATTTCGAATTGCAACAAAAAAAAGCAACAATGGAATATTATATTAGATGCAGGATTATTTATCTCAATACATTTTACTACACTGTTCCTAGGATAAGTTTCCAGGAAAGAGTGTACCTTGTCTCCGGTTCCGTATTGTTGACAAGTTGGATTAGTTGAGGACAAGTTGATTGGCTATCGTCGCACAATCGGAATCCTCCTTCACCCATTGTTGCTTCTACAACCCATTTCTAGATGTTGATTGATTGTTCGGTCTGTTGATTTCCTCTTCTCGCTACAATTGATTTACGCCGTGGTATTGGGCGTTGTGTTTGTTTTACACAACTATTCTTGTTATTCCGGTGTCCCCTGTAAGTATATAACTAACTAATTATTTATAGTAAATAAGTTGTACTTCTGAAAAACTATGCACTTGCTATGATACTGAATGGATACTAGGAACTAAGACACTTTGTCGTTAGTTTACGCTACCTACTCAAGATGTTTTTAACCCCAGCTTTTACAACAGTCTGTCCGCATAGTCGAATGTTATATCTGATCATGTGTACGTATGACTGCCTATGTTTGCCATACTTATTCTTGGCCAAATCTGGCGGACTAGCTTCTTTTTGTTAATTGTATGTACCAATTTTAAGCTTACTTGTGTGTCCTGGTTTGCAGACAATTTGATGATTCCTGTATGGGTGGCTTAGGCTACAGAGAAACCAATTTTGTTATATATTGTAAAGTATTTCCATATCCAACTTAAACTTTAAACGACAATGGTGAAACATTAATTTAGAATACATGCGGTAAAATGAGAAAGGTTAGTAAGTTTCTCGTTAGTAAAACGACAAAATGATATCAAATCAGGGGTTCATTCAAAGAACGAAATCTTAAACTAAAATTAGCACACCTTGTATTTAAAACCTTTTCAGTATAATGATGTTACGGAGGCTATAAATTATAAAAAATAACTACCCAACTGACTTCAATCGGCGTTTGTGAATAGTCTGACGACGATATTGTCCACGATCTGTTTTATGGTAAAATCGACAGTAAAATCGTAATAACTGGTCACTATTGAGGTCCGGCGAAGCTGTGGTTGCCGTGGCGATATTACTATCAATATCACTTTATGGCATTAAGCGCACCAGTCAGCATATGCAGTCACGTTTGAAGACAGTAAAAATATTGATGCTCTAAGTAATAAATGGTGTTTGCGAACACTTAAATGGTGATTTTAAATGTCAGAAGTTAAATTTGTTAAAGGATGTTATTTATTTTGTATTTAAAAGAGTCTTAAGCTGTAAAAATTCACATTTGATGTAATAGCTTAAAGTTACAAATAAATATGAACTTTGAAAATAATTCAATTAAAACATCTTGCGATTGGTCTAGGTACATCTAAAATTTACATTTAGAACTTCAAATAAATCAACTTCACTTCAAATCTAGAACTTCACTACTTTTCAGTCATTAGACTTTCATTTAAAATTCATGCCTGCGGCTAGAATTAGGGAATATACAATGGCTAGGGATGAAACTGTTTATTATTTAGTGAGATAAAATTGTGTGTTTTCATTTTATGAATACTAAATCTGGTTTATTTAAATTATTTTCGTCACATTTTATTTTCAACTGCGTAAAAACACCCTGCGAATCAAAGGCTTAAAAGCAATTCACCGACTCGCCGAAAGAGAAAACTGTGTTGCGACTAAACAAAAGTAAATTGCTTTCCCAGTAAAATTACATTATCTCTTCAACAAAGTATTGATATTGATTGATATATCATAGTTGACATGAAGGTTACTGCTTTGACTAGATTTACAAATGCATTCATTCGCTCTGTAACTACCTATAAAAACTGTGTAGTCATGATGCTTGAAACCCATGTTAATCTTTGGAATCATGTATAGAAATGTATACGAATTTTATTAAATGGCTCAAGCTTTTCAATCCTAAGCCAACAGAGTGATTTAAAAGCTGAATTTTCGTTTTGTACACAGGTCTTAGAAGACCTGAAGAAAGTAAGTCAGTAGCTCTCCACGTTACATAAGTTGTAGATTGTTGTAGTTTTAGATGCATTTCACACGCGTGGATTTGTGATTTTTACGGTTCAGGTAAAGGACATTTTACTTCGTTTATCCGAGGTATTTGAACATTCTATATGTAGGTTAGTATTTATTTGAATTTATTTAATGAAGTGTCTCTCTGATTGCATGGTTGACCAATTTCCTATAGTTGAATAAATTACTCTACGTTTTGTACTCTGAACCTGGATCCTGTTATATCGTAAGAAAGAATTTAATACATATAAAGATTAAACGAGGAGAAAATAGTTCTCTTCTTGATGTGTTTAAGTTCTTTCTCGCCTGAAGACGGATAAGATTCCAAATCCAGAAACACCTTTCAGAAATACCTTGAAAGAAATATCTTTTTTTACTAATCGTGAAGTGAAATGTCCCGTGTAATGCGGTAGCAATTACATAAACTTACCAAAATAAACTTGACAAACTTCTTGAATAAACATTTTGCTCTTGACGAACTGTAGAAAATTCACTAATAATTTAAGGCCCTTTTTTTTATCAAAGGTAACAGTTTATAAAGACCCCTCTTACTGAGAGCCCTTCGATAGATAAATAATCGTAGTATGAATAATACATTAGAATTGACTCCTTCAAACTGGGAACGCTGCCCGATACCCATCCCCTTCACAAGTTCATATTTTCAAAAATATTCATTGGCTCGCAAATTGGTCTGTGTTTTATTGCTAGGTAGACCTTTGCTCTGTTAATGATTTATTTTATAGACATCTGAAAATATGGTATTTTCTACTCTTTTAGTTAATCTTGGAGAAAAGAAAAAATGTTGGAAATATTAAAATTATTCGTGAAGCAGTTAGAAGTATGTTTTCTCACATTACTAAGAGTCTCTTTTTTATCTGTTTTATGCCATATACACAGTTTTTAATCTAAATTTGCAATTTAGTTCTCTTATTGTCTCTCTGTTAGTGTTGCAACTAGTTCTCAGTTTAAAATACTGCAGTACAACATTTTGAAGTGAATCTCAATCCGTAAGAACCTGGGTGATTTTCCAAGACTCTGTTAAAAGTTATTCAGAAATATATAAATTACTTCAATTTTAGTACCGCTAAATAAATGACCATTGCCTAACGATAGCTTCAAAATTAAAATCGTATATTCTTTTACCCTAGGTACAGTGAGCAATCAAATAAGATAAGAGGTATCTTCACATCTTGCGGACCTAAGTAATTCATTATATGAGTTATGACAAATTCGGGTTAGAAAAATTATAAAGAAAAACCATGATATATTTTGACTATGTTTTTATTAAACCTGAACATAATTATATCATAATATCCACATGCACTTGCAACTCATATAAATGTTTTATATTCTAACAGTTTATGTACGTGTCCTGAGTCCTGATATTTGTTTTACAATTTACATATCGTTATTTGTACAGTGTTTATTATTACTGTAACATTACATATCCAATATATTCTAACATACAATTGTTATGTTACAGGTAATGTTGGAAACATAATGAAGTTATAATACTGCCAAGTGAGTAAGTTTTATTTTACAAACCTGCCTCGATTACACAACCTTTTTCTTTTTAATATTTTTTAGCTCTAATTACCTATAAATAATAGTATGATACAGTTTGAACGACAATTTGAAACATTTAACTTGACTTAAATCCATTTTAATTTTCTTCACTAAGTTGGTCGATTTAAATTTGTCATTGTTTTAAGTTCTGTGACTTGCTTGTCTTACAATCTCGTCATTCGTTTTTATTTTGTTAAATAATATGATGGGATTTTTGAATATTTGAAACGAATGAAATACATAGATTATACAATACTTTACAGTGCAGTAAACTATTTGAAAATATTTACATGATCAAAATCTGTTTCAAATGTAAAATTGAAGAAGATGTCCTAATATATTTATTTACTTGATGAACACTCAAATATAATTTTCATATTAGTGTCTTTGTCGCAGCAACCATGTTGACGCCATGCTGGTCATCTGTAAAAGAAAAATAAAGAAATTAACAACGTTTGACGCTATTCTCTCATATTTATGTATGAAATATCCTATAACATTTTTCTAATTGTGTCAAAAGGCAGTTATTTTGTTCATATCATACAACTTACATACTGTTTCAAATAATTGAAACACACATATTATTCACAGTTCCATAAACCACAAGTCATTTTCTTTTTTTGCTAATTACAAAACCAACCAGTACATTTCATAGCCGTGTAAAATTAGTGAAATGCAGTGATGCATTCATAAAAGAAAATGTATTTTTAACGAGGATTTTCCAAAGCGCCCCAGAGAAAGTAATTAGGGTACATAATTGAACACAAGCAAAACCACGCACGTGGCTACTTTTATAATAGATCCAGTTTAAATCATCCACGCGACAAACCGAATTAATTTCCTTGTCAATGTTACTAATGTTGGCATGCGAATGACATGTATAAAACATGAACTTTTCTCCTGTTTATTAGTTTAACATAAGAGTTTTGTAGAGTCATAGGATAATATTATTGACTATCCACTATACAGGGTGTTTTTTTTTTTAAACTTGCATCTTTTATGTAAAAACCGCAATAGATAGAAATATGCAGTTGGCGGAATATGCAATTCCAGCAAACTGCATATTTCTATCTATTGCGATTTTTACATAAATAAAGATGCAAGTAAAAAAAAAAAAAAAAAAACACCCTGTATATAATCCACGGTAATATTGCCTAAGGTAGACATCTATATAATTAATACGCTACATGATACTTTGTCGGTTGAACTCCTCCGCCATTTCTTAACCGATTTTAACAGTTGACGTCTCATTGGAAAGAGCGCGTCGCGTAGATTTGCAAACTGACCTTACATTTTTGAAAGCGTATCTTGGGCTCTGCCCCAGTGGCTTTGAAAGTTCCCATGTTATCCTTATGGAGAACATAATTGTTTACATTTTGATCAGCTGTATAATTTAATTGCTGTTATTTATTTTTCAATTCAATAATTGAGTAGGCTACATTTATTTACTATTTGAGTTTGTGTAAACATAACCCCAAGACGGATAGGCCTAATAGAGATCGATGATCGTGTTAGTATGGTTGTATCTTAAATTTGTGTATTTATCGTTGTTTTGTGTCGCTATGACGGATCGTGTTAGCATGATTGTAACTTAAAATTATGCGTTTATCGTTGTTTTGTGTAGCTATAATTTCTTTATTTGTTGTTTATTCTTTTAAATGCCTCCGACACGACGACAACGAAACATAGACAGACGGCGTAATCGTGATAACGACCTCAGCTACAGAACAGTGGCGCGTAATAGGTTTAACTCATCCACAGTCAGCACCTGACCTTGGACAATCTCAACTATTAGGTTACAAATGCGCCCTAACACTAGGCCTACCCCAAAACGACTTTTCGTTCTCAATTGGCCCTCTATCAATGACCTGTGTTGCATGTATAGCGAGGCATTTAGAGAAGGAGAAAACCGACTGGAATGCTTTAGGTTTATCAATAACGAAGATAAACATAGTCTGAGTTACACACCGGTAATCTTTGAGTTGGCTCTTTTAAACTCATTGTAAATATGGCCGTTATTCGTTTTGAAATAACTCCTGTAATACTTTGCAATTGCTCGAATTCGAGCAACATGTACACTAGTAATTGATAATTTCCCAAACTTATCATTAGACTGAAATACTTACTTAAGCGCATATTAAGCAGAACCCCTCTGATTAAACAGGTTTATAGAACAAACGCTACTGCATGACTTTTGTTAGTTGTTTACCATAAAAAAATATGTATTCCAAAAATAGTTCCATAGATACCAAATAATGTTTACCAAATTACTTCCAATATCAATAAAAATGTCATGTAGCTTCCCTGTGTGCATTTTTCAAGTAGATATAGATTTCTAACTGACTTTTCACAATGCAAACCGCTGCAGCAATGGTCATATTACAGCGGCCGCAACAGGCGTCGCCCAGTTCTGTGGTGGTTTTATTATCAATATTGTCACTTTACGGTCTTAAACTCGCCTCAATCTGTTGCCGACATGCCGCTACAAGTCGTCAAAACTGACGTATTGCTCATTTGAATAGTTTTATTGTGCATTTCGTCCTCACTTGCCATTGTAGATTTCAAGTAAAGTTTGTAATCAAATAGCCTTAATGATACACTGACTTATGGTAAACTTATTCCTCTACTAAAAACTACATTGTGAAGATCATCAGAATCGGATGTGTAATATCTAAACCTAATGGAGCCACACTGGAAGATGGAGGATGGCAAACAGATAAGAAGTGGCTGTCATTAAAGAAGCTGGCAAGTGAATAAGTCAACTTGATAACACTTGCAGTTCCACCCTAACAATTTCACTCTAGGATTTTTTGTTTATTTTTATTCCATCACGTCTCTAAATTCGTCGTATTCCATTATTAATTAATTTTGTTTCTAGTAATGGTCACTGTAACTTCTTAGTACTCCACGAGTTTCTGAGCTTTTTGATTTTAGGTAAGTCAAATAACCAGCGACTATACTGTTTATTATATCCCACCAAGTAATTATTCCTAAAAAAATATTGTACACCTGAGTAGATATCAATTATTATATTTTTATTCCATACCATATTTTTAATGTAAATATTTCCTATGTATTAAAATATTTCCTATATGTAAGCATTGCCTAAGGATCCCCTTGAATGTGATGTAAGCTAATACGAATGGAACTGTCGAGAAGCCTGCAAGCCGTACACCCCATAACCGCGTACTCAAATAAAAGGTCTAGATGTGAAACTTCCTTGACAAATATTAGTTTTTCGATCAACCCTTTACTAAAGGCACGACCTTAATTAATATACTCGTATTAAATATGTGTCAGCTGTTACATTTGTTTTTGTTTCGAATTGTTTACCTCTTCTCTCCTTTTAATTGTTACCTCATTGTTATCATAATATGTCTATATCACACCATGAAAAGTGACAGTATGTTATTGTTGACTATGATATCTTTGACTATCCAATAGTCAATGATGTTATGCTTATACGAAGTAAAATTGTATTTACTTTTACTGTTCAAACATTTGAGTTCTGTGTGTATGACTCTTCCAACTGTTAACATATTTCTTCAGAATTGTGTTTATAAAAAAATGAAATTCTGTGGTTGCATACGATTGTTTCCTATTACCTGAAACTAGAACCATTTAGTTTCGAAGGAGTCTTGTGTGGTTCAATTGGTAAACAATCTATCTGTTGAACATTTTCCTCATGACATAGACAATAATGAAAATTGAGAACAAACAACTAATCATCTAGCAGTTCGCATTGGTCGATGCAGTGAAGAACTATAATTTCTTCTCTGCGTTCACTCCCCGTCGCGAAGCAAGGGCAGAACAGGAAATATGTAATTGGTTACCTATAATACAGTCTAATAACGTATAGACGGATGTGGATCACCATTAATCTCATGTCAACAACTAAAATCATTATTCAGCGCAAACCTAAAACTGTTTAAGTTTTCTCACCGATATAATCCGATGGTGATGGAACTAAAAGTTATATCACGTAACTACGGAACTATATACATTACAATAACGCTAAGTTTCCATGTCGCCCTTTGCACTATATTGTTGCAAGTTACAAGTTATCAAATCAACTACACCAAGTTCTCCCTGTGATTGGACTTGGTAACAATGGTTGGAGACTATCTGTTATTACTCTGTATTCATCTGAATGTAATGTAGACCGGTGTTGTTGTAGTGGAGATGACATACTTTGCAATGTGTTATTATGATTCAAATCTTTGGAAGGTAATTTAAAATTATTACTAGTGCTACCGTAATTACGTACAACGCGTGTCTAAACAGAATCTATTAATTTCCGCGACACGCACGTCAGATCGTGTGTCAATATCGACCTGGTCGTTTGTTTACTGTTGTGATAAGATAACATCGGCGACTATCGACCATCACGAATATCAGACCACCGACCACAGACCAGTACACTACCACGCACTGCGATATGGTGAGCACTGTATGTCTGGATAGCACAGAAACATTACAATATTAATTAATTATTAGTAATTTTGACTGTCGTTATTACAAACCAAAGTACGAATTATGCTAGCTTATTCTTCTATTGACCTAAGGGTAAATGTTCTTACAAACTATGTATTGAGGGTCATTGAAATTGTTCCATATGCTCGGTGTTTTTAAGGTAAATAAGCATGGTGTTTGATTCTAAGATCCTAGATTGGCCTTTACGTTTCCATTAAGATATTTAGATCTGTTATATACTTTAACACGCCGGAATATATACCCAAATAAGGAAGGCCTTAAATATTTAATTCAAAATTACCCTACACGTAACTGTAACACCATTATTCACTAAAATCCAATATTTAACATCTTTAAATCTAGATAGATGTTTGCATGAATTGGACATAGATCAGGCTAACTTGGTGCACAAGTTTCTAATTTCGTCCCAGTAATTCTCTTTATTTGACTTCCTTCTGTTTGAACAGGATTTGAAACAGCACTCCGAAGATTGAGGAACCTTGTAACTACTTACCTTTAATTACAAAGCCAGATCTACTTAGTCCCTCCTCCTTTACAGTGGCCGAGATTGTTGAATAGCGTACAGTGTCCTCTGTGAAGTTTGGGACGCTATTTGACCAGCCACGGTAAAAAAAAAAATAGAAAATGAAAATTCATTATTGTGAATAGGCTCCGGTGATCAACATTATTAGCGGACAGGACTGTAAAATTATTTTATCCCAATAAATAAATCGCGAAACTAACACAAATCTGAATCAGCAATGACCAGGACTAAACAACGAGAAAGATAAAATTTTCAACAAAATTTGATCAATATTTCTGAACAAAACTTAAAGGGAGATTATTTGTTGTGTTCAATTAAATCTACTGCTCATAAAACTAAGTCTTCTATTTTTAACGGCTGGTAAAAATATTTGCAAATAACATTTGTCCCTTAACAGTTTGAAACA